GCAGATGCCATTGTTCCTGATACATTAATTGGTGCCTTCAATTTATTAGTCTAAATCCAACTACAACACTGGTGATATAAAAGTAACATAGCAGCACTTCCTTTTTCTCTATATGAGTTGACTTTCCATTGGTACCACACTCAGGACGTCACTGAAATACGGTTTCCTGCCTGGATTCTTATACGTTGGAATTCATAAGAAGCATGCAGATACTGCGAGAGCCAACAGTGGTCCACTTATCTATTGCTTTGTAACCAATCACCCCAAAACTCTGTGATGAAAAATGGCTGCCACTTCATTTTATTTTTTTAATTTTTGTAAATTTTTTTAAAGATTTTATTTATTTGTGAGAGAGAGAGAGAGAGAGAGCACAAGCAGGGGGAGCAGGCTCCCCACTGAGCAGGGAGTCCGATGCGGGGCTCAATCCCAGGACCCTGGGATCATGACCTGAGCCCAAGGCAGACGCTTAGCTGACTGAGCCACCCAGGCGTCCCTGGCTGCCACTTTATTATGCTCACCATTCTGTGGGTCAGGCATTCAGGTAGGGCTCAGCGGGGATGGCTCACCTCTGCTACACTAAGTTGGAAGCTTCGGCTGAAGTGACTTAAGGACCCAGAGACGTCCTGATTGGAGTTCAGTCTGGGGACCCGGTTCTTCTATATTTGGTGTCAGTTGGGACTAGAATGTCTCCTTTACTCACACGAGTAAAGTGTCTGGTTCCTGGGGCTGGGATGGCAAGCACGACTGGGAGTTGGCTGGCACTGCCCCCTCTCCCTCTGTACCCTCTTCATGTGGCTAGCTCAAGCATCCTCACAGCATGACGATCTCAGAGAAGTTGCACTTGTTACATGGTGTCTGGCTGGCTTCCAAGAGGTGGAAGTGAGACCTATGAAGCCATATGAAGCCAATAAGGTCTATGCCCAGAGCGGGTACAGCATCGATTCAGCTCTGTTCTCTTGGGCCAAGCAATAACAGGGCCTGGCCAGAGTCGAGGAGGTGGAGAGAGAGAGAGAGAGAGAGAGAGAGACTACCTCTTGATGAGGGAGTGGCAAAGCAGTGTTTAGAAAACACTGTTGGCCACCAACAGAAATTCCAAAGTGAAGGCCCTTAGGCTGGAACGCACGGCCCTGAGTGATGATTGTCTGAGCTTCTGTTATATCCCAGTGGACAATCAGCAATTGATAAGCCTGGGCAAGAGAAAGTTTAGCAACACCCTCTTTCCCACAAGAATGGCAGGCAGTTGACTGCAGGCAGTGGGGAGAAATGCTGACAAAGAGGTTCATTACAGTACTTTTTCATCCTGCACCAAATCCCACTCGATCTTGAACTTCAGGATTGAGACAACTGAGGCAAGTGTTCTCCCCAGGGTGTTGGAGTTGGCTTTGGGGGTTCCTTATTTGATTAACACTCAAATAGTTCTTCATTGTTTTTTCTGAGTGTTTTCAAGGAAATTGGTGCAAGCATTTCTTCTGAATGAAGTAGCACTAAGTCTATCTTGTGGGTTCTTAGTTCCCTTGGAGGCTGCAGTGAATGCTGAACAAGCATAAGCATGGGTTTTGGAGTCATAGGTCCGGTTGAAATTTTGGGTTGATTGGCTATTAGTTGTTTGACCTTGGGCAAATTACTTAACTTCTGTGAACTTCAGTTTTCTCAATGGGAAAATTGAAATAATAATTGTTCCTCCTTATTGAATTTTGCAAGAACGAGCATTTGATAAATGTTGAACACCCTTCCTTGGAAAATAACCAGGAAATCTTCATGCTATTTGGGTCAACATAAAGGTCTGGGAATACTGAATCTGGGGAAGGCAATAGGTGCTTGCCGAGTAATGTTTGCACCTTCAATTGGGGCTGGGGAAGGGGGCAAAGAGAGAGGAAGACAGAGGAAGAAAAGAAAGCTATATTCGTGGACAGATTTTGGCAAACTGACATGAAGCAGAAACAACTGAGTTCATGGATAACTGGGAACTGAGGGTTATTGAAAATGAAAATGTGTTGGGCTACTTATCTCAAAGGTATTATTGCCATTATGTTTATCCTCTGGAAAAAAAAATCACAATAATATCACCATATATAAAAGGTTCTTAGCACATTGCCTGGCATTTCATGAGTAATCATAAACAGCCCTAATGATGCTAATGAGGTTGATCATGCAGGTGATGACAATGGTAAGAATCGATTAAGTAGCTCCTCATATTAATTGCACTGAGTTCTGATGGTATAGACTCTCACGTGGCCCTACCTGTTCAGAGGATCAGTAGCGTTTTGTGTGTGTGTGTGAGTGTGTGAAGAGCTTGCTATCTGTATGTGAGAGGGAGCATTTATATTAGAAGGTGCCCTTTTAATTTGTTACATTATCGCAAACATCGTAAAAATGGAACCTTTTCATTGGTTCATTTTATTTTTTTTAAAAGATTTATTTATTTTGAGAGAGTGAGAGAGAGAGAGAGAGTACATGAGATGGGGGAGGGTCATAGGGAGAAGCAGGCTCCTTGCTGAGCAGGGAGCCCGATGCGGGACTCGATCCTGGGACTCCAGGATCATGACCTGAGCTGAAGGCAGTCGCTTAACCGACTGAGCCACCCAGGCGCCCTTCATTGGTTCATTTTAAATGTTGTGGTAATAGCTTCTAGGATGACCTCACATGATCCCTACCTCCTGGTCCTCATAGCTTTGTGTAATTCTCTCCCTTTGAGTTTGGGTTTGGCTTTAGTGAATCACTTCTAGCAAACAGTGCAGCAGAGGTGATAGGATGGCACCTCCAAGATTAGATTGTGATTTCCGAACTGGGTGATCTGAGGGAAGCCATCTAGCACGTTGTGAGCTACCTTACGTAGATGTTCATATTGTCAGGAACAGACTGGGTCTTCGGAGAGGGAGGAACTAAGGCCCAATCCAACCACGCTCAAGGAACTGAATCCTGCCAACAACGACGTGAGGGAGCTTGGCAGAGGATCCGCACCGAGCTGAGCCTTCAGATGAGACCATAGCCCTGGCTTGACTGCAACTTTACGAGAGACTTTGAGCTAGAGGCATCCGGTTGGACTGTGCCTGGATTCCTGACTCACAGAAAGTGTGAGATGATCAGTGTTTGTTGTTTTAAGGTGCTAAGTTTGGGGGTGATTTGTTACGCCACAGTAGATACCTACTACAAATGTCAAATATCATTTATTCAAGAGGCACCGTTGAAGGACTTCTTTTGAAAATTTTATCTGCCAGTTGTTGGTTGGTTAAATGGAACAGATGTGAGAGCACAGGGGTTGAGCCTTGGAGACAAACTGTCTAGGTTTAGATTACAGTTCTACCACTTCACGACTGGGGAACTAGGTAGAAAAATTACTTACATTATTTTAAATTTAGTTTATTTATTTGTCAGAGAGAGCGAGCGAGTGCACAAGCAGGGGGAGCAGCAGGCAGAGGGAGAAGCAGGATCCCCGCTGAGCAAGGAGCCCGATGCGGGACTCGATCCCAGGACCCTGGGATCATGACCTGAGCTGAAGGCAGACGCTTAACCTACTGAGCCACCCGGGCGTCCCAATTACTTACGTTCTTTTGCCTTAGTTTCCTCTTCCATAAAATGGGGGTGGTAATATCTATCTCAAAGGACTGTTGTAAGGATGAAAGACCTTTGCATACCATGAGCACTGAATACATTTTACACTATTATTATCATCAAGGGAGATTGCTGCCCAAGGAAGACAGTGACCCCTGGAGCTACACGTGGGAAGAGTATGCCCACAGGGCTCCTGCAGACATCTCAGGGCTGAACTCCTAAGGCTTGCATTTGGGAAAAGGGGCTTTCCTTTTGCAGATGCAAGGAGAGGGGAAACTTGAGTCTTACTCTTGACTAAAACATGGCCCTAAGACCTTTGAGCCTAAGTGAGTGTAGCTGAAGATGGAAAGCCTGTTGTTTCAAAGCTTCAAGCAATCTTTCCAGAGGTAGCTTTCTGAATATACTGTGCCTTTATGTATTCTAAGGAAACATTCTTTGTTCTGGGAAAATCATTCACATTGAGCATTAACCCCGAATGCTTCTTCTTATAGTCATCTCTTTAGATATATGACAACTATATATAGTTTTTCTCAATGAAAAATAAGCAAAACACAGTTTTGCACAGAAACAACCTTAACGAAGTTTTTTCTTTTCTTTTAAAGCATGATTGTTACCTTTCCTGGTCATATCCCTATCCTCTTCATCAAGGGAGTGTTGTGTAGATAACACGGGGAATTACTGGGTTTCTTCCGTAGCAGGCCCACAGTACATGATGGAGATATGACAGGAGAGTTCCACAAGAGTTTGGGAGGAGGGACTGATGACACGTTTTCGTGGTTTGACTCAGTTTTTTAAAAAAGCCACTTCCAAGGGCCCATCAACCAGTCAGCTCATCCACTTGTTCCAGCAGGAGGTAGGAGGTTGGAGGTGGGTGGGGGGTGGAGCGTGGGGAGGAGCGACACCCCGCTCGGGAATCCTTGCTTCCAAGTGTCGCCCTGCGTGCCCCCCCCCCCCCCCCCCCCCGGCCCCCCGTTCCCCCCGCCCCCCCCCCACCTAACCCCCCCCCCCCCCCCCCCCGGCCTTCCGGGCCACCTCGAACACCCTCCACTTCGGACTCCTGGAGATTTCTCCGGCTAAGTCCAGCCAAGAGGGTTCCCGAGACGCGGCGCGAACTGCCCTCCTCCTCCCGCGTCTCCGCCCCCTGTCGGGGCCGCCGGGGGCCGAGGGAGGCGAGGGTGCCGCCGCTAGAAAATGAGCGGTGCCCGGAGGGTGGCCCGGAGCTGCAGGTAACGCGCGCCGGAGCTCGGGCGCGAGCGGGCTCCGCGCACGGTCCCCTTCCCGGCGCGGCGACCCTGGGGCCGCACGGGGCGTCCCGGGCGGCTGGGGCGCGGCCAGCCCCGGCGCGGGTGGGGGCACTAGCGCTCCCCGCCTGTCGCGCAGCGACGTTCCGGCGGCTGTTCCCGGGAGCGGCGGGAGGCGGCGGCGGCGGGGAGCCGGGGCCGCGCGGCGGGGGCACCGGCTGCTTCAGAAGATGGAGAAGTTTCTGCAGATCGCGCCTCACTCTCTGGCCATCGTCCTGGGCCCGGCCGAGGGGCCAACGGCGGAGAGGTCCGGGGCCGCCCAGCCCGCGCCCCCGGCCCAGCCCCGCCAGCTCGCCCGGCACCACATCGGCTACGAGATCTTCGCCGACTTCAAAGCCGAGAACATGCAGCACTTCTGGAACAAGAAGGTCACGGCCGCCGTGGCTGAGACCTTCTTCCTGGGCTGGATCGACGAGCAGATCCTGCTGATCCAGGGCAAGGAGGAGCATCTGGAGGCGCTGCGCGAGGGCTGGACGCGCCGGGCGCTGCGGCCGCCCTCGGGCTTCCACATCCGCTGCCTCGGTGAGTCCGGCCGCCGTCCGCCCCGTCCCGCCCCGAGCCCGCGCCCGGCCCCGCGACGGGGACGGCCGGCTTCCCCGGGCGCCCCGCGCCTTCCTCCGCCTCCGAGCCCCGGCCGGGGGAGGGGCCGGCGGGCGTCCGCGAGCGCGGGATTGGGGGAACTTTCTGGTATCTAAAACCGGGATTCGTACCTTCCAGCCCCCCCCCCCCCTCCACCCCGGCCCGCCCGCCGGAGCCTCCCTGGCAGCGCGGGCCGCGCGCTCCAGTGGGGCGGTGCCTGGGGCCGGCCAGGTAGGCGGCGGCGCGGCGGCGGCGCGGGAGGCTCGGCGGTCCGCGGCCGCTCACGGGTCTGCCCGGCTCACGCTTTCCGCGCTGCCCCGATCGGGCCGGGGTGGCGTGCGATCGCGAGAGAAGTCAGGAGAGGATTCTGGTAGCATCAGGTAGCGACGGGCTCCGCCGCGCGGGCAGTTCAGGTGCGCGGCCGCCCCCGCTCCGTCCCCCGACGTCCTTTCGGCGGGCGACGACCCTGCCCCTCCGCGCGGCTCCCCGCCGCCGTTTGCGTGGGGGGGGGGGCGCGTCCCGCGGCGCTGGGACACGGTGGGTGTCGTGCGCCGGCTTTTCTGGGCCAGACCGAGCTGTGGATTTCGTTTTAAATGTCTTGCCTCCGGTACATCTTTCTTTAGTTTTGTGTGTTTGAAGGGAAGAAGGGACACGAGGAAATCAGGGGGAAGTCTGATTCTCAACAAAAGAACAGTGTACGGGGGAAGAGAGCTGGATAGGTGATAGTCGCTGTGCGCTTCCAATGTTGCCTGACTTGCTGTGTGTTTTTTTTTTTTCTTTTTTAATTGCACTCCTATATTCTAACTCCAGATTGCATCTCTTTTAGAATATACTTTTTAGTTTTGCACCTTGGGCCCAGTGGTTAAAAACGTAAATGGTAAATAGTAGTGCTTAATGCAATGATTTTAAGAAAGAAAGCATTCTTTCTCGTACCACGGTTTAGAAATTCTTTCATGACGTTTTGGGGGGAGGTCAAAAGTTCAAATGCTAAAAGACTGTAAAGCCGCCTTTTTCGTTGCCCACTGTTGGTATACTGCTTTCCTCTGACGGATTAGTTTATACCTGCTCATGGGTCTTCCTGTATGCCTATCGCAAATCTATAGCATTTTTTATTTAGTGGTATTTTGTCTGTTTTTGTATAGCAGAAATCTTGACAAAGCTTCCTTTCGATTGAGTGGACAAAAAATCCAGGAAGGCTTGCATCGTGTGTGTTTTGTAACCCGTGCCAAATTTCAAAAGGTGCTTTAATTTTTTTTTTCTTTAGCAAAAAACCGTAGTGGACTACCTGTAATTAAGCTGCCTTAGTAAAGGGGCCAAGGTTAATGCCTCTGAAACTTGATCTGCTCTTGTATGTAGGGCTGCAACACATCAGGAAGCAGGGATATATGCAGTTATTTTTATGCCCTGTATAGATGACAGCATTTTAATAGTTTTCTTTTAAACTCGACTTCATTCTTAGTTTTCCCTTTTCATTTTCAAAAATCTCAAACATATAAAGGTAACATACTTCAAAAATCTTATATTGAATTCCCATGTACCCATCATCCAACTTTGAAATATATTAGGACATGGCCAATCGTATTTTGCCTCCACCCTTGTTCCCTACCTAATGCCATTTTGAAATCCCAGACATTGTATCAATAGCATTTGACTGGTAAATATTTCAGTTCACAGTTTTTTTTTTTTTTTTCAGCAGAATTTGTAAACTCATAGGAATTGGGGATCCGTTCTATTAACCAAAGAGAAATATTTTAGCAATTTGAAAGCTTCCAAATTGCTGTCGTTGATTGACCTTTGTCCTGACCTGGCTGGGTAGCCTGAGCGGTCTTAAGCTGACTGGGGGGTGGGGGGTGGGGGTTAGCCGCTGCATTGCTCAGCTCCGCTGGGGCACACAGTACCATGATGGGGAGCATCAGGTAAAGGAGCAGAGTGAGGTCTGCTGGGATCCAAGTGGCCACTTTCTTTTGAGCTGCTTTGGGGCTTCAGAATTTCTGCTGGAATTCCAATTGCATTTCAGTAATGACTGTAAAATGCTGAATTGTTGGGAGAGAGTTTATCTGCTCTAAGAATTCTCTGTGGGAGCCTCGGTGTCTGTTGCAGGATCGAAGGTGCAAGCAATTCCAAATGAGTTTTGCCTGTTAAGTCCAAAAGCATGTGGTTCTAACCAACTGTAAAATTTCAGGTGGCAGTTGGACAATGAGGAGGTGATTACGGATTCAACAAGAAGCGGGGGAAATAAGCAAGTCAAAGGAGAAGTTTTGATTTGGAATAGTCACATTCTCTCCTTAGAAGTGACCTGCTCTGGGCACGTAGAAAAAAAGTTCAGACTTTGGATTTCCAGGACCCTTCAAAGGGACATGTGTGCTCAGGAAAGTAGGGATGTTTCAAAATTGTGCTGTATATTTTGAGTAAATCATGGTAAGTTAAATCCCATACGTGTTTATTGAGTGTGTACTAATTGCATTCTCTATGTCTCTCCCGAGTCTTTTTGGGGGGAGACTCCCACAAAACTGGGCAGTGCTTTGAAGGGAGCAAGGAGCGGCTCCTTCTGCCTTGTGAGAGGTTTCCCAGAGATGAGGCTTGAGCTAGACCATGTGCAAATGTGGGGCGCAAGGGGTTCATTAGAACACGACAACTTTCCTACGCGGGCAAGAGCATGAGCAGAGTTACCAGGTTGGGGAGCTCATGACATGTTTGGAAACTGGCTGGTTTGGGTGGCTGGGGAGAAGGGTGTGATCCAATAATTCGAAAGGCGGCTAGGCCCAGATGTAACGATGTAGAAGCTGCTGGTGGCTTTTGAGCAGGGAGAGGGGTGACATATTTGATTGTTGTATAAGGAGAATTCTGGGGCCAGTGGGAGTGGTGGATGGCACTGGGAGGGGATTAGACACAGGAGCGCCAGCTCAGTCCTTGGACACAGTTGTGGGGAGAGGTGATGAGAGCTGTATTAGGTGGTCACTCTCTAAGGTGCATCCCATGGTCAAGGGTTATTTCCTTAAAGAAGATACCATCTTAGCTGGGTTGTGTCTGGAGGGCTTTCCAGCCCCATCTCCTAACCCACCAGCCTTTGGCCTTTGTGTGGAGCCCAAATGCTCCTCCTCCTGGGGCTCATGGGGTTTTCCTACCCTCAGCCTCAGATCCTGCGGTCAATGCCATAGGGCCTCCTGACTTCGTATGTCAGGGGGCATGGGTTAGTTCTCTGTCCCTGCCAGTGGCTCTTTGTATTTTCCCAGTTTAACCTTTGATAGTCAAATACTTAGCTCCAAATATGTCATATGCTTTTCAGACTTTAAATCAGAACTTGTATTTTATATTACAAAGTTGTTTAGAACTTATGGGCATCAAGATTTTATTATATTTCAAAATCTTTATCGGTTCTCTCAAAAGGAGTTGCTCTCTTAAGGTGGTTTCTCCAAGTAGTAAAATTTTAGGACAGAATTGTGTTTTTTCTTTTTTCTTTTTCTTTTTTTTTTTTTAGAGAGGGAGGTCGGGAGGGGCAGAGGCAGAGGGAGAGAAAGAATCATAAGCAGGCTCCGTGCTGAGTGTGGAGCCCGTTGTGGGGGCTTGATCTTACCACCCTGACATCATCACCTGAGCCGAAATGAAGAGTCAGACGCTTAACTGACTGAGCCACCCAGGCACTCCCAGAATAGTTTATTTTTATTTTTTTGTTTTGTTTTTAATATATTCTCCTGGGGCACCTGGCTGGCTCAGTTGGTAGAGCATGTGACTCTTAATCTTGGGGTCATGAGTTTGAGCCCCATGTTGAGGGTAGAGTTTATTTAAAAAAACAACAGGGGCACCTGGGTGGCTCAGTCGGTTAAGTGACCGCCTCTTGATTTTGGCTCAGGTTGTGATCTGGGTTGTGCGATGGAGCCCCTGCATCCAGCTCCAGGCTCAGTGTGGAGTCTGCACCTCCCTCTCCCTCTGCTTCACCCTGCTCTCACTCTCGCTTTCAAATAAATAAATAAATAAAATCTTTAAACAACAACAAAACCAAAACCGAACAAAAAACATATTCTCCAAAAAAGTTTGCATAGACTCCCCCAGAAGTTTCTTGTGTTTATTTAAGTCAACTTAAAATTGAATAGTATTCATCGACGGATGGTTGGGATTGATTCATGAGTGTTATGAAGCTTTTTGAAGGAGAGATGCTGATTCATTCAACAACTGGAACACCTCCCACTTTCTAGGGTCTGTTCTGGGAATGGAGGTGGAGCATGGGTCAGACAAGGACAAAAGTCCTTGTACTTTCGGAGGTTCCATTCTAGTGGGGCAGCAGACATTTCAAAAATTTGACAAAGAAAGAAGTTCACGGAGTTCCAAGTGCTGTAAAATTTCTGCACGTGATGGGCTAAAGAGTGATGAGGAGAGGTGGGATAATAATCGCCATTTATCGGTCATTTGTTATTGTCTAAGTGCTTTATTTTTATTAAGTCATCTTTTTTTTTTTAATTGAAAGATAGTAGGCACACGGTGTTACATTAGTTTCAGGTGTGGGACAGAGTGATTCAACAAGTCTGTATGCTTTGCCCTGCTCATCACAAACGTAGCTATCATCTGTCCCCATCCAACACGAGTCCCCGGCCATGGACTGCATTCCCTGGGCTGTGCCTCTCATCCCATATTGCGCCCCTAACTGGAAGCCTGAACCTCCCATCCCCCTCCACCCATTTTGCCCTCTTTGGCGACCACCAGTTTGTTCTTGGTATTCATGGGTCTGTTTCTGCTTTTTGCTTGTTTGCTAATTTGTTTGTTTTGATTCCACGTATAAGTGAAATCATATAGGATTTTGCTTTCTCTGTCTTATTAATTAATCCTTAAGACAGCTATCCCATGTAGGTATTATTTTACCCGTTTTACAAATGAAGAACTGAGACACAGAGAAAACAAGTACTTCTCCAAGGACACCTAGTTCAGTAAGAGAAAGAGCTAGAATCTGG